TTGCAATGGAATAAATTTGAGAGCCTTCTCAAGGTAAGCTTCATGACCAGCCGTATGAAATCACTGAAATATCTGGACATGAGCAACAACTTGCTGCGCCACGATGGAGCTGACGTACAATGCCAATGGGCTGCGTCTCTGACAGAGTTGGACCTGTCCTCCAATCAATTGGCAGATGCCGTCTTTGAATGCTTGCCAGTCAATATCAAAAAACTCGACCTACAAAACAATCAGATCAGCAGTGTCCCAAAGGGACTGGCTGATCTAAAATCCTTGGAAGAGCTGAACCTGGCATCGAACAGGCTGGCTGACCTGCCGGAGTGCAGTGGCTTTACATCCCTGCAGTTCCTGAACATAGAGATGAATTTGATCCTCACCCCATCTGCTGACTTCTTCCAGAGCTGCCCAAGGGTCAAGGAGCTACAAGCTGGGAACAACCCATTCAAGTGTTCCTGTGAACTGCAAGACTTTATCCGTGTGGAGAGGCAGTCAGGGGGGAAGCTGTTTGGCTGGCCATCAGCGTATGTGTGCGAGTACCCGGAAGGCTTGCAAGGCACGGAGCTGAAGGACTTCCACCTGAGTGAACTGGCCTGCAATACGACGCTGCTGCTCGTGACAGCCCTGCTGCTGACACTGGTGCTGGTGGCCGTGGTGGCCTTCCTGTGCATCTACCTGGATGTGCCCTGGTACGTGCGGATGACGTGGCAGTGGACGCAGACGAAGCGGAGAGCTTGGCACAACCACCCCAAAGAGCAGGAGACCGCTCTGCAGTTCCACGCGTTCATTTCCTACAGCGAGCACGATGCGTTGTGGGTGAAGAACGAGTTGATCCCAAACCTGGAGAAGGGGGAGGGCTGCATACAACTGTGCCAGCACGAGAGAAACTTTATCCCCGGCAAGAGCATTGTGGAGAACATCATTAACTGCATTGAGAAGAGCTACAAGTCGATCTTTGTGTTGTCTCCCAACTTTGTGCAGAGCGAGTGGTGTCACTATGAGCTGTACTTTGCCCATCACAAGTTATTCAGTGAGAATTCCAACAGCTTAATCCTGATTTTACTGGAGCCGATCCCTCCATACGTTATCCCTGCCAGGTATCACAAGCTGAAGGCTCTCATGGCAAAACGCACTTACCTGGAGTGGCCGAAGGAGAGGAGCAAGCATGCCCTTTTCTGGGCTAACCTGAGGGCAGCTATTAACATTAACCTGCC